TCATATTCATATGATGTGATTGAAGTTACCATGGTGAAAGAAAGAAATACCCATGTACAAATGTACATGGGTAACCACAGAGAGGAAGCAGGGCACATGCTGTTGTATGTAGAGGATTGAAGTCTTTGTGAAGAGACCGTTTTTGATTTCTTGAATGTAAAACTGAGGAGCTTGTCTGTTTACCTTCACTCGTTTCACAGTGAAGAGGTGGGAGTAGCCACAAGTCAGGATCAGTTTGACAGCAACAAGTTTATATGCTAAATAATTACTGTAGATATTATTTTTTTATATTAAAAGCTTATTTTTTAGTTTGACCTAATTTCCCTATTCCAAAAAAAGATCTGTTTAAAAATTCTAGTTTGGAAAATTAATTCTGCTATTTTAAACCAAAAAAGTCTTTTTGTTAACAATTCATCTTGCCCACATCCACTATTGCCTTTATGGTCATCAAAAAGTATCAATATCTTGACAGTGAATTCTAAATATAAAATAAAGCTCTGATATCCTCACAGATGATAAAGCCCCAAAGGGAAGGAATGCAAGAGACCATTAATTCCCTTTTTCAGTATTTACTGTGTATTGTGCTTGGATCTACAGTAAACACTCATGGAAGCAGCAGTCAATAAATTAAACAATGTGTTAGATTAGGCAAATCTCATGCACAAGATTTCTTTATGTTTCACAGGTAGAACTATAGACAATGTTTTTTCTTACTAAACAATATTTTTTGCCCTGCTGGTTCTGGGTAAGAGAAAACCAATGGGAAAAGATAGTGCTAGGATGATTTGGTTCAGCCATGGATGTTCACAGAGTTCATTGTAATGGTAAAGTTGTGACTCCCTAGCATGGATATAAAATGGCTCATCTCAGAAGCAGGAATGGGGATCTCACTACTATTCAAGAGCCAGGAGTGGAATCTTTGGACTCTGAGCTCCCTGCACATTGAACCTCTTCAGTCCAGGAACAGAATCGGTTTTCAGTGTCAGATGTTTTGGGTCACTCAGCCTTTCTTTCCAGACACCTCTGGATGGATTTCAACCTCCCAACTTTTGGTTCCCAGCTGTGAATGTGCTTTCGTTTGCACCACCCTAGGACTCCTATAGAGCATAGACCGTTACTATATTGGGGTGACACTGTAGCATAAGCACTGGACTGCAAGGGCGGTTTCAGCCACAAACTGGGCAGTTCAGACTCATCAGCTGCTCCTCAGAAGCCCTATACAGGGTTGCTGTAGGCACAGTGGCCCTATAGGACAGAATCGAATGGGGCCATACTAATGTGATGCCGTAGGAAAAGCACTTGACCTCAAGGTCGGTTTGAACCACGAAGTCCATGGTTCAGACTCACCAGCTGCTCCTCAGAAGCCCTATACAGGGTCGCTCTGGGTCAGAATCGACTCTACAGCACTTCACAACAATAATGTCACTGATAGGGAGTAGTCGTAAGAACAATGTAAATTCATAACTTACCTCTAGTTCTCAGTATCCCCTTTCTGTAGGTTTGGTTGTTTTAGAATTCAGTTTGTTTCTATTTGAAAGTCATACCTTTTTGAAAGTTTTGAACTGATAGCACATATAAATGTCTCTTACTAGTTATACACACACTACAGTAGTTTTTTTCTTTATTGTCACCTGTATTTTCAAAGTTAAGTTACTTTAAGAGCTCTAACTAGAGACTGCATTACCTTTTGTACTTAGGGTGAGATGAGGTGGAAAGGGAAAACAAATTTCTATTCAGCCAGCCATTCGGTGCTGCCCCTTTCTCCTCTTTGGCTACTTCTCTTCCCCTTTGCTCCATTTTGATTGGCTAAATGTGGTCCTCATTTGCATTGTCGTACACCTACCTGAGGTGTTTGAATATTTTGACTTGGTCATTTTTTCCCAGAGAACCGCACAGAAAATATGCTGAATTAATTGCATGGTGACTTTGCCTTTGGTCTTGAGAGCGCAGGGGCAGTTTATTCTTCCTGTAGTGATTTGTTTTGAAACTGTCTAGTTAACTTTAAAATATGAGACATTTAGCTTAAGGTAATAATTTAGCTTAAGCTTGTGTCTCCTAAACATAATTATGCATTCAATAAGAGTTTAATGTAATATATTTCTATAAATATTAATTTTGAGGTTTTTGGTGTGTGTGTGTTTTTTTTAATATAGCAAGTCAGCCCTATGCCTTCCTTGCCAACCATCTCTCCATCAATCAGTGAGCTTTGCTTTGCTCTTTGTTATCCCTAATTCTACCATAAACTAATCTCTGGTGCTGGCCCTGGGCAGCAGCGTCCAGTGCTGGTCAAGGAGACGAAGGAAGTGAAAACCACTAATGACACCGTATAAACAGGTCTGCCGTATCTATGGGAGAGTTAGGGATAACATGTAGACTGTGTTGTTGAGTTAGCATAGGATAAGTACTGGAATTTTCCCACAAACTTTTAAAGCTCCCTCATATGTATGTATGTATGTATGTAACAACAACAATATAAACATATTGTTGTTAGGTACCATCGAGTTGGTACTGACCCATAGTGACCTTCTGCACAGCAGAACGAAACACTGCCTGATCCTGGGCCAACCTCACTACTGTTGCCACGCCATCAATACTGCCACTTGGGAGTCTTCCTCTTTTTCTCTGACCCTCCACCTTACCAAACATGATATCCTTCTCCAGCAACTGGTCCCTCCTGACATTATGTCCCAAGTATGAGAGACGAAGTTTGACCATTTTGGCCTTTAAGGAGCACTCTGGCTGCACTTCTTCCAAAATGGATCTGTTGGTTCTTTTGGCAGTCCATGGCACTTTGAATATTCTCCTCCAACACCGTAACTCAAAAACATCAATTCTTCTACGGTCTTACTTATTCACTGTCCA